TGGGGCAGGGCAGAGCCTGACCTCTGATGAGACACCCAGCCCAGTATCACCGGCAGCTTCCATTTCTGTGCTAAATAGCACCTCCATATCCACTTCTTTTTTAAACAGAAAAAACTAATTTGCATAACTCATTAAACTAGACATGGCCAGAATAAAACAAAGCAAGCAGTTATCTGATTTTCTGCTTTTCTGTATCATTACTACTAACTCGAGGATATTTGGGTTTGGTATTTGGTGTTTGGGGCGATTTCCTTTGATTTTGATTTTCTCTGGGTTTTTTTTTGTGTTTGGGGGAGAGGGAGATTTCAGATAACATTGTTTGCTTGAATTATTCTTGTAGGAGAGATTTCATTACCAGAAAATTATTAACTGTCACTTTGCTGTTTACAAAGCTTTTTCCCAATAAGGGTCCACAAAAAGGGCTTAAGAAAAAGAAGATACATGAGATAGATAACTTTCTTTGCTAGAAAGGTAGCCTGTGTTGGGTCCTGGATGCATCAACAAAAAAAGGTTAAAGATGCCATATAGGAAAGATGCATAGTTTACTCTCTTTGACTTTCTCCCTGGATTTTGAAAGCCATTTAAAAACTCATTCTTTGTCATATAAAAGTTAGAGGTCTTTCTTGGAGAGATGTCTGACTTGACAACATCCTATAATTAAAGATAGCCTTAAGCTTACAGTTCCCTCTACAGGACATTTTCACATCCAGGTTGTATTTGAGGGCATTGTTTAGATCTGTAAGCCTCTGCCAGCAAAAGAAAAAAATCCAGCAACATTCATTTCTTTAAACAGATTTTTAACAGTTTTTTTTTAGTAGCATGATGGACATAAAAAATAGAGTGGAACCAGGAAAAGCATAATTCAGGAAAAATAATAAGGTGTATGAGAATGGCTGTACTCTGAAACAGAAAAGTCCATTTCCTGTCCCAATAATGGATTTGTATGAGGACCTTGAAGCCTTTCTGCTTTCATTTTTCTTCCATTAAAATGAAACTTTTATGTTTCTGCAAATAACATCACTTTTTTGCAAACTAATAAAATCAGAGACTTCAATAGGAATTAAAATGAAAGAAATAAGCACAGTCAACTACACAGTATTAGTACATTCAATTCTTAGAGACTCAAATATATTTTACTATTTTCCTTTGTGAATTAGTTTTTTTTAATATCTTTCAAATTTTTTTTTCGTGTTATTACTGGATGGAAATGCATGTCAACAAATTTTGAATAGAAATCTAGTACTATCTTTCTATTATAAAAGTAGAAGTATACTTCTTCTTAGTCTTTATCATTAAAAAATCAAGTAAATAAAACTACAATCAAAATTAATTAACTGGATATTTTATTGAGATTATTTGCTGAGGTTTTCTCTCTCTTTTCTTTGTAGATCAGCTTACCTTTTTTCATGGTCTTCAAAATTATCTTCACTTTTTCATCATGTTTTCCACTTTTATTTTATTGAAATGCAGAGAAGTATTTGGATGACTGCTTTCAGATTTTCCCCTTCACACATAGGCACACAAACTTCCCTCAAATTCAGCAAGTCGTCACAGGTGGACACTCCTGCTATGAACACATCAAAGGAATGTGACTTACACACTGATCCTGAAAATACCACAGACCTTATCTCCTACTAACATTGCCTTTCACTTGAAAGTTGGCAGCAGTAGTGCTTCACGGTGTTCAAAAATTGTTCAGCAGTGGTGTATCTTCCACTGCTCAAATCAGACCTTTATACCATTAGTACATCTCTCCATTAGCCTAATCTGTCATTAAATGTATCTTTTACATGTTCAAATGACATCCATCACACATATCATGAAAGTTGAAAAAAGCTGTGAAAATATTCTTCCTTAGTTTCAACATTTAGTGTCATCAGCCTTCATATTACAGTGTCATAGCTTAACCCCATCTGGCAGCTCAGCCCCAAACAACCACTTGTTCAGTCACCCACCAGTGGGATCAGGGGGAGAACTGGAAGAGTAGAAAAGCTAGAAAAATCGTGGATTGAGACAAGAGAGTTTAGTAGGGAAAGCAAAAGCTGCACATGCAAGCAAAGCAAATCAAGGAATTCATTCACCAGTTCCCACGGAAAGGCAGGTGTTCAGCCATCTCCAGGTGTATTGGGTCTAGCTGAGATGGAGTTCATTTTCTGTAGCAGCCCTCACAGCGCTGTGCTTTGCATTGGTAGCTAGAAAGGTGTTGATAACACAATAGTGTGAATTTTGTGTAAATTGTCCACTTACGTTCAGTGTTGTAGTGATGTTATTTTGAATTTTATGTTGGGAATTTTTGTTTTGTTTTATTTTTGCTGATTGGTTTTGTTGATATAAGTTTTTTTGGTAAGGCTGTGTGATTAATGTGTATTTTAATGATAATTCTTAAATATGTGATTCACAGAGGTGAAGGGTGGAATGTATTGGGTTTGCATGGCCAGGGTTTTTTGTTAGCTGAGGGGCTACAGGGCTGGCTTCTGTAAGAAGCTGCTAGGAGCTTCTACCATGTCTGGTGTAGTCAATGCCAGCTGGCTCCAGGACAGACCCACTGCTGGCCAAGGCCAAGCCAATCAGAGAAGGTAGTAACGTCTCTGTGATAACATATTTAAGAAGGAAAAAAAAAATTGTTGTGCAGATGCAATTGCAGGGAAGAGCTGAGTGAGAATATGAGACAGGAACAACTATGCAGACACCAAAGTCAGTGGAGAAGGAGGGGGAGGGGGTGCTCCAGGTGCCAGAGCTGAGATTCCCCTGCAGCCCATGGTGAAGACCATGGTAAAGCAGCTGTGCCCCTGCAGCCCATGGAAGACACCATGCTGGAGCAGATGGATATCCAAAAGAGAGCTGTGAACCTCTGGTAAACCCATGCTGGAGCAGTGTCCTGTCAGGGATCTGCAGACCTGTGGAGAGACTTGTGACCCTGTGGGGGACCCATGCCAGAGCAGGCTGTGCCTGAAGACTGCACCCTGTGGAAGAGTGACCCATGTTACAGAAGTTAGTGGAGAACTGTTGGCTGTGGGATGGACTCATATTGGAGAATTTCTCTGGAGAACTGTCTCCCGTGAGAGGGACTCCATACTGGAGTAGGAAAAGGACTCCTCTCTCTGAACAGTGCCAGAAACTACCTGTGATGGACTGACTGTTAACACTCATTCCCCATGTCCCTGTGCTGCTGGGGGGAAAAGGTAGAGTTGGGAAGGAGGGAGAGGAAGGAAGAAGATATTTTAAAATTTGGTTTTACTTCTCATTATTCTACTCTGATTTTGTTACTAATAAATTCAATTAATATCCCCAAGTGGAATCTGTGTTGCCCATGACAGTATTTGGTGAGTGATCTTTCCTGGTCATTATCTCAACTCATGAACTTTTGCTATATTTTCTCTTCCCTGTCCAGTTGCAGAGGGGAGTGATAGAGCAGCTTTAGGGGGTGCCTGGCATCCAGCCAGGGTCAACCCACTGCACCAGGAAAGCCAGACTCTGTCACCTGTAACAGTGACTTAGAAAGATAAATGCTATCACTTTGAACATGCCCTGCCTTCTTTCTTCCTGTCTCAGTTCTGTATGCTGAGCCATATGGTATGTTACCCTTGGTCAGTTGGGGTCAGCTGTCCCTGCTGTGCACCCCCAGTCTCCTCTCTGGCAGGGTGGGAGGAGGAACAGAAAGTGCCTTGATGCTGTGTAAGCCCTGCTCAGCAATAAGGAGAATATCTCTGTATTAACAACACTGTTTTCAGCACAAATCCAAAACACAGCCCCATACAAGCTACTGCGAAGAAAATGAAATCTACTTAAAAACAACACATAGAGCTGTAGTTTTTATGATCAACAGTCTTTAACTTTCTCGCTTTCCCAGTTCTGGCCAGGACAGGGTTAATTTTTGCAGTAGCCAGGAGGAAGCATGGCTAGGACCTGGAGGTTATTCTATACCACCTCACATCATTTTCCAGGGACAGGGGAAGGGATCCCTTCTAGTTCAGAGTAGTGTGTCAGTGGTCAGGTGTTGTTGGGCTCTGCATGATATAGTGGTGAGTGTTTGCATGTGAATCACTTGCTTCCCTTCTATACTTTTGTTATTAATATTGTTACTGTTATTGTTCATTTTCTTATCTCATTGCTGTTTCCAGTAAATTGTTCTTATCTCAAACCATGATCTTTACGTTTTTTCCTCCAATTCTCCTCTCCAGCCCTACACAGAGGAGGCAGATGGGTGAGTGAATGGTTTCAGTGGGAACACTAAATTGGAGGATACCATTACTAAACCATGATACTGACACATTTAGGTATTCAATGTAATGTTAGGATGAATATCCAAAAATATAAATAATTTGCCAGTTTCAGAAAAGCAGAAACATGGCCATTTATATAAAGATTCCTGAATTCATATTCTCTTACAAAAATTGATTTATTTTGGTTGAAGCATTTGATTCTAGAACTATAATTTATATAACTCAAAATCTTGGAGACCAGTACTTTTAAGAATAAAAAATTATCAAGAATTTGAGTATGTGGATTATATTTTCTTTTCTTCTCTACATTTGGGAAAGCCTTTTAAATTCAATTTGTTTTCCTCTCTGAATCATCTTAACCAATATATCCCTAATATGTGATTGTATTTAATTTGCAACTTTTTTATTTCTCTCCGTAGTAATATATGATGTACATTTTAATTTTCCTCTGAGGATAAAGAAACATACTGAAGAATTTTATCCATTATGTTACTGAATCAAGCATGCCTATAGATTAATCCAGTTTGGGGTGCTTTATTGATTCAATTAAATTAGGTGCAGAATAGGAAAAAGCAAATTGAATTATTATGCCTTTATCTGGCTGTACCACTCAGCCATCCTGCTTAAAGAAACATAGAATGGTGAATGGAAAAAAAGAGGTATTTTTCTTGATGGTAGACCCTCATTCATGGAGAAAGGAGTTACATCACTTATGACTGAACTTTTGTTCTTGGTTGGTTAACCTGGCTTCTACAGGGTTAGAGCTAATCTACAGGGATGCTCACAGAAGGTGTGAAATTGCTAAAACCTCCCTCCCTCCAGCCCACTCGCTTCGTTATCTTCACTGAAAAGTCACTGAAACTAAAAAGCCTTTTTGCCCTGCTCATTTTGGTCATGTTTGCAGGTAAAGCAGTAGTACCTGGAGTGATGTTTATAGCTATCTCCTGCTTCACTGCACTACCACAGTCAAGGCCTTTTTTTCTGGTGGTAACAGCTTTCTGCAAGTATATTTGCTACTCTTTCTGCATTATTGCTAAAGGCCTATCTGCTAAATCTTAAATACTAATGAATCATTAAAAAGGGTATTAACATACTTGCTGGCCCTATATGTGTGTCTTATTCTTCACAGTTTTGTAGCAATTTCTATTAAAAAACCTCATTACAGAGATTATTGTGACATGCTTTGAAACAGCAACATTCATTATGTATTATCTATGTATTGGAATTTGGAAAATTAATTCACCAGGAAATGAAATGACTCATCCAGGGTCTCTGAAGATGTATGTTCAAGTCATGATTAAAATCCAAGCTGTAGATCTGTATTGTGTTTGCTGCACAATCTTTTTTGCTCTTTCTCTTTCTTTTTTTTTTTTCTTTTAAACCACATCCCACGGTTGTAAATTCAGCCGGAAAATTCCACTGTGCTACTTTTGTTTTCAAACTGTATTTGGCATTTAGCCAACTATTAGTTAAATATGGCTTGTTTGTGAGCATTCCCTTTGCTTTGGGGTTCAAAGGATAGCCAGAAAGTGGCATAACTGGGAAAGAAGAGACATGCTGTAGGGAAGAGTGGGCAGAAAAACAGAGAGGCAGAGACCAAGGAACTGCTCAAGTGATGGAGTGACTGTGAAATGTGCTACTGATGCTGTTGTGAGTCTCGTATCCACAGATGATCGGAGAAATGAGGGTTTTCCAGCCTTTCAGTGAAGTGGGGGTAGGGCAAAAAGAGGTAAGGAAGGAATGAGGAGAGGCTAGAAGTGAGTGGGCTGCACAATGGGTTTTCCCTTACAATACCTGCTCTGACACATCCACTGCCCAGGTGGGTAGGGTGGAAGTATATTTATCTTTTGGTGTGTGTTTATCTTTTTATAGGTTACAGCTTCTGTAAAAATATGATGCTTTATGTGCCAATCCCCAAATTATACCAGTGAAATAAACCTTCAGAGTGCCTACAGTTTTCAGATTTATGGTTCATGGGTGTATTGACAAGTCTGTATGGGTGACTTCTACTGGCATCTAGAGGAGACTTAAACTGCAGCCTTTGGAGGGAGATCCGGTAGTGCTCTGGTTACAGGGTTTTTTTCAGCAGGCATGATGAGGGATACTGTTCTTGGGACTAGCTGGCCAAGAATTCCTGATATTTGTAGTAACTGTGTTTGTTGTAGAGCAATTAAATGTCCTTATACATTAACATATCATCAATACTTAGTCATCATATGGGATTAGAAGTTTATTTCTTAACTTCTGTTTTACTTTAAGTGCCAGATGGGGAGAAATGGAATGGAACATGAAATTCAGAGCAATAAAATTGCCATTTATATATATAGACAGATAAGTGAAAAATAATTTTCATTTAAGGGAATATATCTTTGTTTTGGAGTCTTCATGAATACTTTATCTCAGCTTCAGTTAAACAAGATAGATGTGTCAAAAATTTAATTTGTAATAATAATGGTGAAAAAATTAACATATTTTGTTTATATTTTCCATTCTACTTTAGATTTTTGCGGAACATCACTTATCTGTAAACTACTATATGCATATATATTGTTGAATAAAGAATAATATTTCGAGTTACAGAGGTAACTTCTTTTTTTGCCATTTCTGCAACTGCAGTTTGAGAACTGCTAGGAGGAGCTTAAAGTTTTAAATATGGGATCCATATCATTCCAATGTAACAGGTTTAAAGGCTACAATGCCACAAAACATCTAGGAACATGACACATTTGACTTTTAAATTCTTTCATTTTCAATACAAAATCTGCAGTATAGTATCTGAAGCTTCCCATTTCCTGCTTTTCTTATCAGTAATACTTCTGTGTTTCCTGAGACAAGCTAAATATAAGTTAATGTTTTGATCTGTTTGAAAAGATAACTTTGTCATGCAAATAGAACCAGGCTCAGTCTCCAACTCATTTCTCCTCTATTTAGATATGTATACTGAGCATCAGATGGACTACCGAATATCTAGGTGTACCTTGTGAATCTAGATTTTGGATTGTCTGGGACAATTTCAATTGCTCAATTAAAATGTAAGTAAATAATACTCTTAGAAATCATGAGGCAGGTTAAAAGAAACCAATCATGTATTAAGACTTTATTAATCCTCAAAGCTGCTTCGCTGCTGTGAAGTTCCAGTATTTGAGGAAATTCTCAGAATATTGAAGTAATAATAAAAACAATGCACAAATGAAGAGACAAGGTCAATAGAAATTTTAATGAAGAGTCAGTTTTATTAAATATGATATGTAAACTAAGCTCAGGCTTTTAAGAAAAGATTTTGCATATAGTATTTTTCTATTTTATAAGGATCTTTTTGATCTGTAACATATCTAGTGAATCTATGAGGGTGGTGAGGCACAAGTTTCCCCAAAAAGTTGTGGATACCCCGTCTGTGTAAGTGACCAAGGTGGGGTTGGATGGGGGCCCTGAGCAACCTGGTCTAGTGAAAAGTGTCCCTGCCCATGGAAGGGGACTTGGAACTAGGTGATCTTTAAGATTCCTTCCAACCCATGCCATTCTATAATTCTGTGATTCTTTGATTCTATTAATTCCAAGTATACAACTTCCTCATAAAAGGAAAAACCAATCCTGTTTAGAGTAATACATTATCAACAGCAATTGCACTTACCTACAGCTGTGAACGTGATTTACCACACAGGAAAAAATAGGCAGTCACTTGCTAAAGCAAAAAATCACAAGGAAAGAGAAAGTAAAAAAAGTCAAGGTTTATTGCCTTTTCACACTGAAACACAGATCTTTTTTTCAGGGAGTTGCCCTCCATAAGAAGAAAATTAATAAAATACTTGAAATTTCTGTAAAAATTGTTGTAGATAACAGGAACACAAGAATCACGTCAACTTAAGAGACTGTGAAAAGTAACCTTTATAATTTTATTTTTTTTTTCTAATTTTGACAAAAGAGACATTTTTATTAATATATTTATATATTACCCTTTATTGATTTCTCAAAGTAAGTGTATTCAGGTAGTACATCTTTTTGAGTTAAAAAGTGCTACAGAGCACAATTTTTTTATTACTTCATCATTTGGAAGATTCTGCTTGTTGACAAGGCAGAGTAGAAATAAGTGTACTGCAACAATGGGGAATTACAGATCTATCTGGGAAGTGGCAAAAGGGAGTCATTGGAAACAATGAAAATCAGAGAATCAATCAAATTGGAAAAAACCAGTAGTTTGTATTATCCTAAAACATACCTAGCGTTGTAGAGATAAATATAGACAGATTTTTATTTCCAGGCAGGTTGTTGCATTGTGGAAGGTATTTTAAGCAGATCTAATGCTGAGTCCTGTTCAAACTTGTACAGGCTATTACTCACCTGAAGTATTAATTTCTGCTGTCAGCTTCTGTTCCAATTACATTTGTTTATTCATTTGAGAATTTTAATGAATTGATTCAAGCTTAGTTTTGACTTCAAATCAGTTATATTGTTCTAATTTTAAGCAACTCCATAAAACTATAGTCTCCTAAGGTACAAACATGCTTGTAGTTGTCCCAAGAAAAATCCATAAAAAATGTAAGAGTGAGGTTTGTTTTGACAAATTTCAACATGAGTCATGAATAGTCAGGATTCTTACACCTTTGAACAAGATTTTTTCAAGCTGCATAATTTTGATCCCAAAATAATACCTCATGACATGTTATCACAAATAAATTCTCAGACCTTAAGACATTACTTTTTATAACTACTCACAGACTTATGACCTGTAATATATAGGAAGTCTCTTATCTTCTCTTTAGATTTTGTACTTCCTGAATAGTAGATAAATGTTGAACTGCACTGTCTGAAAAATTCTGTTCATTTTGGATACATCAAATGGAAGAATTCTGGTGATGAAACCTAAAGATCCCTACTTCATCACAGTATTTATGCATATTGCTGTATACTTATTAGTAGTGAAAACTTCATTCTGAGATGGATTTTGGTAGGAATTCAGACAATCTTTGATGCAACTGCACTGAGGCCTCAAACCTGGTGTTTCTTAGAATGTAAAAGTAAAAAGCACATTGTGTTTTTCATATTTCAAAAGTATAAGCATCCTGTGAGAGAGGCACTTGGTGTGCAGAGATTGAATAAAACCATGTCACACTGTAGTCATTGATTCCAGTGTTCCTTCAGATGGACCACACAGTTCTTTTTATTGTTGGCCTCCAGCTTTTTGGAAGCGAGGTTACTTTCTTAAACCTAACATCTTTCCTTTTTTTATCATATCATGACAGATTATGATTGTAATTCATGAGTGTGTGACTGTGGGGGTCAAACAAATTTTAGCTGTTCGATGATATTCACAATTCAGAAGTAATAATAATTTGTAAGATTTAGAGATTTTTTAGCAAACTATTTCTTCAGTGTATTGCTTGTAGTGCTACCAAAATTGTCTCTGGGTTTCTCTACAAATTTAATTTTTAATTATGCTAATTCTGAAACTGAATTTCTGTGTCTGCTTTAGCCAGTGTGGAAGCATAGTTTGTGGATTCATCTGTAAAACTTACTGAGAAGGTGAAACTACAATGTATATATCCAAAAAAAAAGATGTGATAATCCAGATATCCTGGATGAAAATTACTGTAACTCATAAAGAAAATGCAACTGTCTTACATCCAACCTATGACATTCATAGAAAAGACAAATACAATGGAAGAATTTATTTTGTAAATGCTTCCAGGGTGACAAATCCTCATCCTTCATCAAGAACATTTTGAAAGATGATGATCTTTACATTTGCTTCATTGTAACTACCCCAGATGGAATTTCAAAAAAGAGAATAGGAATTATTCAGGCAGGTAATCAAATCCCTCATTGTTTTTTAAATTTCAGATATATGCAAGATATATGCAGATATATGCAGAAATCCATACCAATTCAGGGAGTGTCTGGCATTGCAATTTTTCTTTTCACTTACATAGGATGCCGAAATGGAGTAATTTGGGGAAAAGAACTAGCACAACAGGAAAAAAAATAGTACTTTGACAAAAGATCATTTTAAGAGAAGTGGGAAGCAGAGATGGAGAAGACAGACAGAACTCACAACAGCCATGGATTACATGGCAGACTACAGGTCATTGCAATGGTTATATTTCCAGTGGGACAAGGCTCTCGTAGCATTCCAACAAGCTGTAGGAACTCTTCAGAGGATGAAATTGCAACTACCCATGAAATTACATGGATGAACCTTGTAACTCCCCATGGAGGGTACCATATTTTGATCATGTTATATGGTGAGGGCATTCCTTGTCTGAAACTAGGATTGTTTTTTACCTAAAGCTCTCCTGTGCTTGCTTTTTCAGAAGGAAAAAAAAAAAACATTTTGGAGCGGTGTGGCAACAAAAGGGAGTGAAGTAGGGAAGCTTAAATGAAGAAAAAGAACCTCTTTCTTTAAAAGGAGACTTTTTAAAGATGGAAAAGGGAAGAATAAGAGAAAAAGATTCACCTACGACCATGTACTTTCTGTGTAGCTGTCTACTTTCCAAAGGCTCTGTAATTACCTGACCACTCATCCATTTGGTTTCCCTTTCAGCTCTGTGTCTAAGAGGAGATAGAACTCTTTACTAGTAATTTTCTGTACGTACTTATTCAGCATTGGTCAACTGACAACTATGGCAAAAATTACTGAGTATCTCTGATGGGAGAGAATCTTTAGAAGATTGTTATGTACATATGACAGAATAACCTTCAAAGGAGAAGTAGTTACTCTTGCTGTTTTTTTGATTTCTTATTTTGAATGTGGAAAGATTCTGGTCCTTTTTTCCATTCTCCAGCGTGAAAATAGATGCCATTCAACATTTCATTTTACTTCCCAGCTAGGAAATAATGGATTGAAAGGAAATTTAGTTTCTAGCACTTGAAAGACAGGTAAAACAGACCTCTTACTTGGTTCAGTCCAACCTGGCTTCTGGCAGTGCTAAACCCTTATTCACAGTGGGTTTATTTTCTGTATAATCCTGAAAGTTAGATGCAGTAGAGATCTGTAAGTTCATTTAGTCCTTTTCACGGCCAAGGCATTAGTGATCTCAGCTATTTGTTCCTGGGTGTTTCTGCTAGAGTTAATCTGAAATGATGCAAGAAACAAGGCAGTCATCTTTCTGTGGAATGTTACGCTTCTGTCCAGTACCTCCAATAGGCAATTGCCTCACAGATTTCAGCACACTGTAAACTGCAGAAAAGTGGATTGGGTATCAGAGGTATGATTTTTTAAATGATACTCTAGGGATCAGTATTCTCAGTACATGGGATTTCTGTCTTGGTCTGAGCACACTAAAAGTGAAAGCTTAATCAACAGCAAACCCTGTGTCCATTTAAATCTACTACAGAGGGAGATTATACTTTTGAATAGAAATTAATCCTTTTCCTTTTAAATAATCAAGATTTCTGAGAACAATCCTATTCAGCTCCTGATAGATGTGTAGAAACATGATCTTTATAAACACTGATCTGAAGAGAATGAAGTGTATCATCAGGGGAGATAAAATGTTGCAGCTTCAATCTACACTGAAAATTAAATATGTTATTAAAACAAGAGTCTAGAGAAGATATTTATTTATGAAATAATTATAGTGGAACTGTCAGTTGGGTTTTATCTTACTTTACTAGCACCTTTGTCAGTACCAAATATTTTAAAGTCCTGGATGACATCTTGCTCTGATTAAACTGTAAACTTCAAATTCACTTCCAGGCACCAGTACTTTAACTTGCTGCTGAGACCAGTTATATATTTTTTTCTTCTTTGTCTTCTAAGATGTAGAATTAGGACATTTATGTTTGTCTTTAAAGCAGCTTTTTTTCTGCAAGAGTGTTGAGCAAGCTGAGTGTTGGTCTTATAATTTCACTGCATATGGATTTTGTTCTAGAATATTAATATACAGAAATGATTGAGGTCCTGGTATATTAAGTGCTTTTTAAGGAATCTTATTTTTGATGGAATTATAAAATCTGACTAACATAGTGGAATGATCATTTTATAAGTAATTAAACTTTTTTCCAACTACAGTGTTAGGATTTATAAGTTATTGATTCCCAATAGACATTACTTTTCTAAAAGCATTAATTTACCTACAGTCCCCCAGACAAATAAACAACTTACTGAAAAATCCATTTCTTCGAACAGGTAATCAAGAAAAATTTAATAGACTCTTTTTTTTTTGTGAATTGCATGGTGTCTAATGCCTTGTAGTTCATGCTTTTAGTTTCAAATATTGGTTGGCTAGGCTAAAGTTGTGAAGTGTCTGCCTTTAAAGGGTGCAACTTTGTGGAAACATAATATTCACCATGAATCTTAAGCTTGCTTGGTAAATTAGCACAGTGAACTTAAGTAGATATTAGGGGTTTTTGTGTCAATCAAAACTGAAGCCTGGTTTATAATTTAAATTGTGCTACCAAGGCATTGAAAATTGCCAGGATTTATCTACACTGACCTATTACTCTTGGACCCAGAGACATTCCTGCACCAGCTTAAGCAGGTAAGTATGCCATTGAGGAATCTGCAGCTCATACTTCGATGAAAGTTGACAACAGAATATAGATATAGAATATATTATTTGCTTTCAAAATTTCCATTTAAAAGAAATAGTAGAAATAAAGGGAAATAATGCCATATGGCGTTATGCTTGTGATGGAGATTCTTAACTACACTAAATGGGAAATGTTCTTCACATGTCAATCATATCTGCTAGCATTTAATAAACTTGGATAAAGTATCTTGGATTAACTTCTGCTTTCTTGCAAAACAGTGAATATTTCTGCACTCAGACTGTTTAAAGTTGCTCTAGTGCCTCATTCCTGGTAATCAACAGAGGTCATGAGTCTGATTCTGCTTTTCCATGTGCTTTGTATAACTTTTAAAGGTATGAATATGAAATGAGTAAATTTGGTATGATTCTGATTTGCATAGTTTGAAGCCTTAAGTGCTGATGCTTAATGAATAAAGATTTCAAGTAGTGTCTAATGGTGACAGTAGTGTCACTAGGTCCAGCAACTCAAGTGGTAACCAGACCCTCATACTGCAAGATCAAGAAGTTAAAAAAGTTTGGAAATCATGGATTGCCTTTTAAAGCAAAAACAGAAAAAGAGAAAAAAGAAATCAGTTATTGGAAAAGTATTAAGCATGTCTTTTTATTAGTATTTTGACAGCATCTCTATTTATTTCCCTTTAGAGTAAAAGTGTCTTTATAAAAAAAAAGTCCATGGTGCACCCTTTCATATGTGAGGAAATAAGAGACCACAACAGACTTATAATGTCTGAGGTGCCAAAATAACGGTGGAGAAACTCTGTTTAGGACTCTCTTTCTGGCTCAATCTCTGGTTGCAGAACAGCGATTCACTCTGCCATGGTCTGGGTGGGGCGAACACAAATCTTTTTCAATCAGGGACAAAAGTAAGAAACTGAATAATCTTAAACAATTGCTGAACTGGCATTACTGTCTGAGGGACGTTATAGCTCTCATTACAGAGGCCTTTTCTTGGTGTTCTATCCTCATAGTATCATTGGTAGATGGAAGACCCTAGAAGTGGTGATAAATCACCACTTAGGTAAGATTTTTGATGCAATTATTCTAATGACTGATTTTTTTATACATATATATATATGTATTTTTTTTACTAGATTTGGCCTGAGCTTAGTCCTGGAACTTTATCAGAATATACAAGAAAAATGTTAGGATAGATATTGTTCTTTTTGCCTTAAATTTCAGCTAAAAATTTCCTACGGCATCTAAGAAATAGGTGAGAGAGAACTCTTGCAGACTGCACAATGTTACCCATGCTTTCTTTATAGGCAGTTAACGAAACAGATTGATAGAAAAGAAATAATATTCAGGATATTATACTGGAAACTTCACATATACTGTAGCTAAAGGATATTCTTGCAAGTGGATGCAGTGCTGAAATTCTGCATCATAATTGCAAAGAACTTGAGAGTTCGTGCTTCCACAGTTACACGTGAATGTATGGTCAAAGAACAGTCTAGTTATCCCACAGGAAGATACTTGCTGGTTGGGTGAATCTGATACTTCTTTTTTTCCTACAGTGTAAGCATATATCCAACAGTTTTCAGAACTAAATTCAGCGTTTTTTTTTTTACTCTTAATGTTCCCACATTTTATGACTCACAAATCCTCCTGCACTAAGCAGACAAAACTCTCACTTTCAGCGAAGACTTCTTGTACATTTTTTCTAAGATATAAAGATTATGTAAGAATAGCCACTATCTTTATTCCGTCATTCTTAACAAACAGTTTAAGGGGGATCTATAGTTTCTTATGTACAGTGCTTAGAGATGTATGTCTGAAGATTGATTTTGAGCTCAGTATGAAGTGTGAGGAGCAGGGATTGAAGTCACTACTAAGAGAAGAAGTGTTAGAATTGGAAATGTCACTAGAATGTGAGATGTTACACAGGAACTGTTGATCATCAAAAAGATGTTAATTCATGCACTTGCTGCCTGGAAGAGAAAGCATTTGAAGGTGCAGAGATTGCAACTTTAATTTCAAATGGAAAGCATAGAGAGAGCAGTGCACCAGGCAGTCCATTGGACAGGAGTGTACAGAGGTGCATCTTTAACTTGTCATCCCAGGTGGCCACTCAAAACACATTAAACAACTGTGTCGTTTCACCAGCATTGCCAGCCACATACCTAACAGCAGCAAAGCAACAGCAGGAGGTCTTGCAATCTTTCTTATGTTTTAAATTATTAACTTTTGCAAAGAAGTGTGTGCAGAGAAAGGTTATGTTTCCTGTGTCAAGCACATTGGAATGGAGACTTGAATGACTTTCATTTACAAAGGTGTGG